AAATGGCTGCAGGGTGATATAGGCTGTTGAAAAATTAACTTGGAGCAGCTTTGACATTCAGTTGCCTTTCAGCTGAAGAAATGGTTCAAACGAACTTTTTCCTGCATGATTCCAGTCAATTTTAGCTCAAAACTAATGTTCTGCCCTTTAACCATGCTAAAAACATGTGTTGCAACTGGATTTTTAACCCCCTTTCACAGGAATATTGTCGACAATTTTTCTACAGGTTTTCAGAGGTTTTTTTACTTCACCGTGACACCCCGACATATTCGTCAACCGCCGCCGTGATGCGTGACACCGACCAAAGTTCGGCGCCGTCAACACCCTCTGTGACGCGTGACTGCCGAATTGAATGTAATTCTACAGTACTCACGGATGAAGCTTGTGAAGACCTGAGCCTGTGCTGGATGAGGGATGTGCAATAAGCACAATGCGCAAGGGGTGACCGATCTCTGGATCGTGGAAGTTGATCTGTGCACGTGAGCGCCACTGATGGTCGTCGGAACACCCTTCGGACGAGACTACGAGATTACAAGGGAGCATGTACAATATTCACAGAGGGTATAATCTTCCATTGTTGTTGCTGCAGATTTGTGTTGGACGCGTAGATTCAGACGCGCTCAGGCGCGCCCGGGCGGTGGCTGGTGTGTTGGCAGTTGATGGCCGGATGGACGCCGCTTACTCAGACCTTCCTTATTTGGGCAGTAGGTACCCCGTGGGAATTTATCCGTGATAAGGAGATCGGACACCTCTTGACAATGCGGGGAAAGCCGATCGGCCGACCACTGCCGAACCCACGATGGCCGTTTATTGGCCGGCGATCAATGCATTGGAGATTGCCGGTGGCTCACCTTTCTCTTCACCGCCCGTCACCATGTTCCTCCCTCCTTTGCTCCTTGTCTCGTACACCGCTGCCAACGTGCTCGCAGCTGGTCACAGTGAGCGGCACGCTCGTTGACACCGGGGGCAAAGAGCGGCACATTTGATTTGACATGCGGCGGACGCATTCAGTCGGCATTCGATGTCACGGTACAATCAATCTTTGTAACCACAAAGCCAGGCTTTGTGCTGGCTTTGTGTGCATGCTGGGTTCCCTCAGACTGGGTGAACAAAGCATTCACAAAGGCTGCACAAAGCCTGGCTTTGTGGTAAAAGAGAGCTATTGTGACTTGTCACACCAAATGCAAACCAAATGTGTCCGCCGCATATCAAACTAAATGCCTCGATCTTTGCCCCCAGTGTGAATCACACACCGGATGAAGCAAAATATTAAGATAGGTCAATATGTGCTAAGAGTGTATAATTCAGTAAAAGAATCAAAGTTTGTAGATAGTTGATCTATTGATTTGATGTGAAACCACCACAGAAGTAGCTGCAATCGGGGGCTTTTTCAAAAGTTATATGTTTATTTATTGTCAGCGAGTTATGAAAGGACTGCTGAAAGATGAAATTTCAGGAGCCATTTCCAGTGGGAAGAAAGAGGTTCTTTTGAATAGACTTTCCTAAATTCCTTTGTTCAAACAAAGGAATTTATGAAAGGGCTACTGAATGACCCTGTTTCTTCTCACAGGAAACAGCTGCTGAAAGTTCATGTTTCAGTGGTCCTTTCATCGGCAACTCATCTACCTCCAACGACGACGGGTTCTCTTCCACGCCCTCGTGCTCTTCGGCGCCCTCGTGGTCATCGTCGCCTCCAGGCTCGTCCTCCCTTTCGGCCCCGACCAGCTCCAGCTTGTCCGCGGTGCCCATCAACTCCGACTCCGCATCAGGTGTGCACCTGCTCATATTTCCTAAAGTAATTAACAAAACATGCCTTCCGCGACGCAGGACCCGCTCCCTCCACTCCTAGTTCGAGTGCAGCGCGCGTCGCCATCCAAAGTGGATACCATTCCGCCGGATCGAATTTAGTACTAGTCCCGGGCGGCAAAGCGTTGGAACTTAGAAAGGTGCACAGCTCAGCCGTCCCGGACGATTTGAAACTCATGGTGGTGAAGACAAACTTCAGGTCGGTTCCAAATAGGCAGAACGCTTGAGTCGTCGGGCCGCATATCCGCCTATCCGCTATCTGCCTAGATTTGGTGGAAGGTGTCCGCTACCGGTGCGTTTCTCTGCCTCATCTTTCATCGTTCGTATGGGTCAACGGCTTGAGTGATCTCCTGCCGCAAGGCAACGTAGGGTCTTTATCTGCGTTTCCCTGCGGTTATTTAGCGTTGACTTGGGCATTCAGAGATCGGAATCGGTGCCGATTCAGGGACGAGGAGTGAGTGTGTTTTCTGGCGAGGGCCGTACAGCGGAAAGGGGCGTCGGGTCTGTGCCTGAAAGAAGCTGTGGGGTGCGTGTTCGGTGCGCGCTCTTTTGGGCAACTGTGCCCTGAATCACGTTGCATTAATGGCCACTGAAACTCTTCGCCGCGCGACCCTTCGCAGTCTTATTTTACTCACCCTGCGGTGCCCCAACCTGGCACGGCTCAAAATGGCTGTTAACGCGTCAGAAATTTCGGAGATGGACAGCAGCATGTGCCGACGGATCCTGCATTACAGCTTAGTCGCGTGGGAGGTGGCGGATTCAGCGATTCTTTCGCCGCTCCGAGTCGCCCGCTTTCTCTCCGGCCCATTTCCCGAACTGAGGAGCATTTCGATTTTCAACGAAGACAACGACGACGACGGATTCGACGAAGGGCACATACGTTATTGGTACGAGGTGGAAGCGCGACGAACACCTCTTTACTCCAAAAAGGTCGCCCGCGTCTGAGGCTCGTCGTCTGTAAGACTACTTGATATCCCGGTTGAATCTGGCTAAATTGAAGCAGATACACTTCAGCCTGTCGCATCCACGGGCAGAAAATCACAATCCACACAGAAGCCGTGGACTGTAGGTTTTGTCGTCCTCGCCTACGCCGAGCGGGACTAGTGTCAATAACAGCGGATTTAACCTATGCAGAGACGTCGCTGGGTAGTGGCGCAGCCTTTGGGCGACTCTTGCCGGACATGCTGAAGCGGCCCTTCAGCGCCAAGACGGTTGGGTATCCTTCCCGCGTATGGTCCCACTTCGCGGAGATCTGCGAGTGCCAACAGGTCGACGATGGTCCATTGGAGCATCGGCGGCGGAAACGACATCGTACGCGGAACGTTTTAGCGCCAGGTGCCGACCAACTCCCTCACGGCTCCGCGGACGGAGGCCACGGAGAGCGTAGGCCGTTCCTCGGGGGGTTTTTCTTTTTTCTTTTTTTTCTTTTTTTTTTTTGGGGGGGAGGGGTTACAGTTCATCTTAAATAAGACACCTCCAACATGATTATTTTGTGCAGTCTTTCGCGACAACCCAGGTTTGCATTGCCCGAACACGTGACGGCAAAACGGACACATTTGGCCAGTGGCAAATATCCGGAGCCTGAATCACAGGTGGCAGCGGACGTATATTTACACAGGAGAATGGTAGAATCTCGGATGGAGGCTGTTCGATGACGGCTGTAACCGTCCGCCCTGTGTGTGGAGCAAATTGCATTGAGGAGGGGGAGCTAGTTGCGGAGGGCCAAAGCACACAATAATTCAGAGGCTAATGATGCCTAAGACGGCGTAGTACGACCTAGAGCAAAGGTGTGGCCCTCAGATCGCATCAAAAGGTATCCAGTGACACATTCGCAGAGCCAGATCTCGAGTCGAGAGTCTCTATTTTTACGCAGATGCTTGATCAGGAACCAATTACATCCATAAAACACAATTTGAACATATCTGAATGCTATTGGCTACATATATAAAGGACAAGACTCGACCGCTCTAGATTGAACTGTGGGCTGTGTTCATCAGTTCACTTGATTGGGCAGCCTCACTGGATGAACTGATTGGCCAATTTATCGAACGGCGCCTGCTTACGAACCCAGCCAGGTTTCCTATCCATAAAGGCTCTGGGCCGCCAATGCTGTATGCCCAGGCCAGATGTTGGAGTGGGCTTCGCATATGAAAGCCGGGCGGAATCGCGGCATGCTCATAACCACCACGATGGCCCCCACTCTCTCTCACATTAGCGAAGCCGACTGTCATACCACGTTCGATATCGCTGCAGAGGCATTCCAAGGTTTCCCCTGCCTACGTTGCACCCTCATCGCCCTAGCTGCGTTGATTACAATCATATTTATTACCCGCCTACTTCTACCCGCTCGACTCTGCACAACGATGCGAACTTCCCTGAATGCGACCGAAAAGCTCTATCACGGCTCTCTAATCGCGGGGATATACACTCCGTCCTCCCAGCCTGATATTTCGGAAGAATTTCGCCGGTGTGTATTAGGACATAACAATGCTAGACCTGAGTGTTGATCGTTTTGTTTACGCATAGCCTGCAATTCAAAGTCTCCCATATTGAAGAGCGACGGGTCCGAAACTTGCTGAAGCCCTGGTGTACGATATGGGACATGTTGACAGGCCATTCCTTTGCAATCGGCCGGTGTATATGGGATATCGAAGTACTGAGAAACCAAATTGAGGTTCGTACTGACCAACTTGGCTTTTGATGGAATCTAAGATGATGTGAAGGTGCTTCAGGAGATCCGTCATCGAGAGGTGTTAAACTGCAGTGAGGAGACCGATAGATACACTGAAATGCGGCACACCCATTTAGTTCTCTGTCACTGTTAAACAGTAATCAGCACAGTAGAAAGTTGATCCACAGCTGTAATTTGTTGAATTTCGCGTGTTGAACCCGAATAGTTCCTGCACATCGTAATCGCCCCGCTTCTATTGGGGGTCAAGTCAGATTCAGAAGGGAAGCGAAGTGTTGATCCCGCATAGTAGGGCGCTGTTCATGTCTTGGTTTGTAGTCCGGTGTGAGTTGTGAGTTGAACGTGACCGGGCAGTCAGAAGCGGCCAAGCCAGATCAGGTGCGCTTGAAGGGCTGGAGCTGTGCCAATCTGGTTTAAATACCAGTCGGGATGACTTGCAGTTCGGGGAGAGTGCAAAAGTATCTGTCGCAGCCACCTTGCATATCTAGATAAGGGAACAAAAATTTGGACGAGTGGAGAATCGAACTCCAGACCTCCCGCATATGGCAAGAATGCGAAGCGGGCGCAATAACCCCTATACTACACGCCCGAGCCATAACCACTGCTACCCGGGCGTTCACAACAAAGTCACCGATGAAAAAAAAAACCGGATGGATGGGACGGATGACAATGACATAAGTACTCACGGGTCACAGTGCCGCTGATTTTCCTTTCTGCCACCACTTTCAAATTCTTTGCTCATATCTCAACTAATTTTAAGATTTATATAAGGTGCACTCGTATTTAGACTCACATATATGGTATCACTATATCCAAACATCAAACCTCTGCGAGAGGTTTGAAATTTTCACATTTTTCAGGTATTTTGAGAATTTTCAGGCCCGGCACAACTCTGAAGCCGTATCAAGCCCTCGAACTTCAGGTTCTAGGTCCTATTCACCCGAGTTCACAACTTGAACTGGGGTCTTGAAAGTCCATGGGAGCATAGATGCGAAAGAGACCCAAAGTTGCAGTCATGCTGAAACGGTAAATTCATCTTGTTCTGTTGAACTTGCAACTAATTTCTCCTTACACCTGCAACCAGGGGGCACAATTTTTTACAATATCATTCTAAGGCTCGTTTTTGATGCCGCACGACTTTACGGGATTTTAGGCACCGTGGATCGTGCTGGTGGTTGAGAAATACTAGGTTTTGGCTCAAGTTTGGACAGAAGAGTTCGATGGCGAGTAAAATATTCCGCTACCGGTCGTTCTCCTTGATTCTCAGAAATATTATGAGGGAATAGAGGTACTATCTAATAAGGGTGAAGATCCATACTAAAAGTATGGCGTGCACTCTCGATATTTAGGTTACCATCGGCGATTGCGGAACGAGCTCCGAATTTCGGTCCGAGTCTCCGAGCCAGTGAAAATTTTGCTTACAGCACGGCGCTAATGTTCTTCATTTTAAGCGCCAGGATGGTCAAAAGCGAAATAAAAATGCATTCCAGTTTTGACTACATTGTTGTAAGCCATTTCAAGCATCCAACTACATAACCCTTAATATTCCCGATTTCTTGCGACTTCCGGACGGGCTTGATTCTTCGCAACGGCGGCGGGAAAAGTCAAATCGAGCGCGCCAGGTAAGCCACGGGCCGGGAAATGGCGTCAAATAGGCAAAATTATTAGACAAAACCGAGGGGGAATGATACTGAGCAGATACAGGCAGCGCGAGAGAAAGTGCAGAGCAGAGAGAGGCAGGGGACCCGAATCGAGCGCGGCAAGCGCGCGCAGCTCGCTAGGGAATTCACAATCGCGTCGTATGAGCGGCAATACTGGCCTCAATCAGCAGGGAAAGTACTGGCAGTGCCAGAGCAGGTACAGAGCGGGGGGCCACGGGAAACCAAATTACTCACGGTGAGCATGGGAGCGAGCTTTTGCCTTGAAAAAGACGCCCGGACGGCAAGTACATTCATCCAACGAAATCAGAGTGGCGAGGGGCGAGTACCGGCAAGGTGTGGGCGGGTGCAGGGTGGACAGCGGTTGGTGAGCCAAATCCAGCATGCCAGATGCGCGCAGCCGGGTACGGACCTGAAAATTGTGCAAGATGAATTTTAGTATACGCCCAACAAGATGGAGATAGAGCAGATACTGGGAGTACACGAGTGGGTGCAGGCGGGTAGCTGTATGGGAGCCAGATTGATCGCAGTCAGTCCATGCAGCAGGCTAAGAGCTCGAGAAACAGACAGATGTGTGCGAGCATTCTCTGAACTGAATGGTGGTGGTACTAAGTCCACATGAATGGCGGGAGGATGGGCACAGGGCGGAGGGCGCGGAGAGGTGCGGCCCCGGGAACCAAATCGGAATTCCGGGGCTAGGAAGCGATCCACAGCATTGAAATGCGCGCGAGACATACACCAACACTCAGCTGACTGATTGGAAGTGTCACTGGGAGAATAAACGTGGCGGGTGGGCGGGCGCAGGGCGGGGAGTGGGATGGAATCCAAAGCGGGATTCCGCGCGCTAGGACTGGGCTACAGTCAGGGAAAGCGGACTGGGCATGATACTGCAGCTGGAAAACCAAATGGCCATGGTTCTGGGTGAATATGGTCTGCGGGAGGACGGGCGCAAGGTGAGAAGCGGCGAGAAAGCTGGTGCCAGAGACCGGGTACAAATGACCGAAGAGCCGGCGGCAAAATCCGATGACCTCATCAGCGTGTGGATGGGCAGTAAAGATGCAATTTTCTCAGTACGAGCGCAGTTGAACGTCGTATATCCTCGTTGCCAAGCACGACCCACCTACAGAGATTATAAGCTAAAAGAGATCTAGTCAAGGAACCGTTGAACTTGGGAATGCAAAGTTGAACGGCCGATGCCCCCGATCAGCACCCTCAGGGTATAATTTCCCTATCACCCTGAGTAACCCTTGGGCTTTCGTCAGCCCCTTGTCTTCTGAAGGGTACTCCATGGCCCGTTGCAAGGCGTAGTGCCGTTTTGTGTTCAAAAAACTTCAATATCATTAAAGCAACATTTAACCAATGCCCAACGAGAAATAAATACACAAGGGAAACTCGTACGCTAAGGGATTTTACCTGTGACGTAGAATACGTCTACTTGAGGTTTAAAGCTGATCCGGGGTCAGCGCGTCGAAGATCGGGCACAGCTGGTCCCAAGCAGCTGTACAACATGTAAGCAGGCGGAAAGAGGAAGTGGAATAGAGAAGATACCGGGGTGCTTCGACTTGGCGATGGTGCCCGTGTCTTCAGCGAAAACGATTGCGAGGCCGCTGCGAGGTAGGTTTAGAGATCTGGATCATTACAAGATTCGACTGGGACGAACGCTTCGAGATGGAAATCAATGTGGCTGCAGATGGGTCAGCTGAAGCCTGGCCGGGGACGAAAGAGAATTTTACCAGTGGAGGAACCAACTGAAAAAACGTATCAGCTCAAGTAAAGGACAGAAGACGAGCAACTGACGGGCCAGCATTGTCAGTGACGAAGCGGATAGTGACGTTATCCCTGAAGCATCTTCAGCAAGGAAAAGGAATTTCAGTAGGGAACAGTATACGAGGTTGAAGGTCCCGTGGAGACGACATCCCGGATAGGCTGAAAAGAGCAATGTACGGGTAAGATTCAGGGATAACGACGGAAAGACGAGTTTCAAACCGGGTCGATGAAGTTGTATTCAGTGGATCCTGCGCTCCGGATCACGTGGAAGTTGTGCTGCGTATGAAGGTGAGTTTATACGTTTCTGCTTGGGTACGAATAGGCTTACGCCGTGCAAATGGAACGGATGGGGAGCACCAATCGTACCACCAGGGATAGAAACCTGAAGGCTCAGGTAAACAAGAGGAGGTACGCTGAAGTGGGTGACTTTTTACCTCTATCACTTTGTTGGGAGGGAGAACGAAGACGCTGCCAGTCGGGAGGAGGTCTGTTGCGGACTGGGCACCACTCAAAATTTGCAAGAGAACAGGGGCTGTTGGAGGGATGAATGACTGTAGAACTGCGTGTGAGTAATGTTGAAATATAAATACGAGGGTGGATCGTAATACCGCGTTATTGATGGCGAATTTCCCAGTGGTGAAGTTAAGGGTAATTGCCAGATTAAGGGTGACGTCGGCGCCTCTGCGCAACAATAAGTCAGAGTCACGTCGGGGTCAAGTCAAGGTGCGTACCCAACAACGGGCTTCCCGGGAACGGGTGGCTGCCCGGCCGCTGGGCGAAGGCTTGCCTCGTTAAGGGGATTGACAGATGTGGTGAGAGGTGTGGTGGGATCCTGAATGGGCGCGTCGACATAGCGCAGAATGGCGGAGTTGATACCATTGGCGAATCCGGGGGTACCACCATTGGCAACGGTGCGAATCCAGTAATTGTCAATCGTCTGGTTCGCATTGAGAACAAATGAGTAACGTTGACCAGCAACTGCAATTCTCGTTGTTCATGAAAAGAGGGGAGGAGACATGTTAATGAACGCACAGATCTGGATCGAATCGACGGTAAGAGGTTGATGGTTGCAACTGTCCACCTCTGTGACAGAATAATGGTTAGTGTTCAATCGGTGCTCAGAATAAAGCTAACCGATGATCGTCATAGAATGTTGATCTATGCTGAAAACAAAGTTCGGATCGCAGGACATAGAAACCAAGCGGAATCTATTGAAAATTCATTTGGCAATCAAAGTAAAAATGCTTGATAGGCCATCACCTGTAACGTTTGCCGAACGTAACACTGATCACCGCTAGAGGAGACGCCGGCTGGAAGAAACTGATTGAGGAGAAGAAGGTGCATCCACGAGCTCAACTCACTCCGCCATCGAAACGACCTATGCACAATCTTAGTCTGGTTTCAGAACTAAAGCATATTTCCACTGACCTAGGCCATTGATGAGGGTTGATATCAGTGTCTGGCGGAGGCCGTCAGTAATTTTTGAGATAAATTATTCGTCCTTTCTTTGCTCACCGGAGGGGCGGGAAGAGTCTAAGGTGAAATGGTCAGCACGCGGTAACTTTCTGGTGAAGATGCTCACCTGAGCAGGGGCGTGATACCTGAAAGTCTGGTCAGATACGAAACGACGAGATGGGGCACTTGAATTACCAGTCAACAAGTGTGATAATTGTCGTATCTTTTTTTCCCCTAGGCTCAGATTAAATATTTTTCAAGGGGGCTCGGCACGCACCATCATCCACATCTAAAGAAATTCAATCAAAACTCGTGAGGGTGATTGCTGACATACCATAGAGGCCAAGATTGGGATCTTGGGGGTCATAAACTACATTTCCCGGTCGAAGTTGAATAAGATGCATAAATATCCAAGCCGGAACACCAACCAACCTAATTCGAAGGACAATTAAAAAAAAAAGCAAGGACACTTGAGAGTTTAAAAAACGTACAATTGCTCCGCGAAGTCCATCGCAGTACTGAGTCGCTTCCATAATGTCAGTTTTTTCATAGCGGTCGGTGAAAATCGACTAACAAAGATGACTGTGGTACCAAAAGGTACCAGCTTGCTCGGCCGTTGGGAAGGTGTATAGAAAACTGTGGTTGGCGGCAATGGGGCATTGGTTCACAAACGAGGGGCTATGGAAATTCGGGTGAGAGATGGCATTTC